ACAAAGATAGTTCACTGACAACCTACCATCGACATTCTGTCCAATAAAATAGCTGGCAATATCAGAGTGTATTCTGATCCTCTGAAGGTCATCTGAAAGATAACGAGCTTTGGCAGCTTCGGTGAATTGACGGTGATACCAGTTGGTTACACGTGCCCCYTCAGCTCCCCTGGACACGAGATACGAATCAAGGTCTGCACGTATTCGTACCCAAATTAATGGCGGTAGTCGGCGTATTGGCGGCTCCCAGTATTGGAAAACATCATCGAGTACTTCGTCATTTGAAGATAAGATATCCTCTAATTCGTTGGTTGTGAGACCACTACGAGCTGGAAGAAAAGTTAAAACGCTTTAGGTATAAAATACGATAAACTGAAAGTTTAAAGTCTAAAAACTAAATAAAATCTTTCTTTTCTTTCAATTTAGTGTGCGCGCGAGACGTCATGGTGGAGTGTGCAGCCAATCGGCGCGCGAGGATTCACACAAGTGTGGTAAAAATATAGTTTTGAGCGCGAATGAATCGCTTTATATTACTTTCATACGAAAAAATCTCAGTCATTGGTAATAATCTAAGTGTAGCAAGTAGAATACGTTACCTGCTGTTACGTAACCAAGAGCATAACGAACTAAAAGCTCTCCATGTCGGCGCTCTGTCCGTTCAAACAAAGTGTTGATAGCATCTCGTATAGTCGCTTGCAAGCGTGTTTGCTCAGGCGGCATGTACGAATGCCATAAACAAGCCTCATCAAAAGAAAGCTTGAGAAACAAAGGTAATGGGCACTGTACGAACGCTTCTTCTATACACTTGAACTGGTCTGGTTGGAGACATCTTCCTTTCATCTTCAGCCACGACGTTAAGATATCTCGTACGTCACTTTCTGGTAGATTTGGAACTTCGATGAAGGTCTTGGGGTCTTTAAAAAATGCCTAAACATTAACAAATTCTAGTTGTTAAATGTAGTAATGCCTTTCTAAAAGTTTGTTTGGAAAAAAAACTTGTACAGCAGCAACAAAATCAACGTCAAACAAGTATTATAACCGCGAAGGATACAAGCTTACAACTCTAAACAAGAGAAAGTATTCAATAACAAAAATACCCTGAGTTTTGGGTAACAGCGATACTGCACATCAGGTAGAGTAGAAACAACAATTTTAACATTGTCAGGAAGAGTTCTTGGGAGCCAYGACAGTTGTCGCCCTCCACCATTTGGCGACAGTTGATCTAAGGAGTCTAGAAGAACAACTAGTGGTTTCTGTTTTGTGGCCGAAGACAAGAAGGATGGGAATGCTTGCACTAAACTTTTTGTACCCTGRGAAAAATAACCACAAATGCTTTCAATACATATGAAATGAGAAACATGAATGTAAAATATAAAATGAATCAAAGAACGTACTTTTGGTACTTTGGTGTCCAGATTGTACATAAATTTAATCTGTTGTAGTATGGTGTTGAGAAGTTGTCGAATTGACGAGCTTCGCGCGGTTGTACCCAGAAACCTGAAGGAGAGACAAAGAATGTTGAGCAACCTTCTGCGTCAACTTTTCCAACAAGATTTTACAGAAAAAGTACACATCTATTTGACCGGTTTGACGCAGGTTTTCTCACCCGAAAAATAACGTTATTATCAATCACACTACCTTAACACGATGCAGATTTTTTTCTTTGTCCATTCCTGTGCAAGTTGAGCAGCTTTAGCAATAATTGAAGTTTTCCCGCAACCTGATTTTCCATGCAACACCAAAGGAGTGTGAGAAGAACTCTTAACATATTCACAAATCCTCTGTAAAGTAGCTTTTCTACCATAAAACATTTCTACTTTACTTTGGCAAAACAGCACATGCTGACAGACCTCTTGATACAAAGGACTTTCAAGCGCCGTGTTTTTGTTTTCTTCTATGCTCTTGGTAATCATTCGTGTTAGCATGGCCTGGAAATCATTGCAGTATTGTTCCAAATACTTCTTGTGTTCTCCACTGTTAGGATCAATTCCTGGTCAATGGACAATTCACATCGTTAAAACTATAATCTTAAACTTTAATCCATATGCCTTTCGTCAATTCCTCATTCGTTCAGTTCATTCCCACTTTCATTTCTTTTTTCATTCTAATATTTCATGGAACGTAGCCACGATAAAACTATGGTATAACTAACCGACTTCTTACCGTTCTTAGTCCATTTCAACGAGTAGACGGAGATATTTTGTGCATTTACGGCCTTCGTTAACTCGCTTTTTAAGTTGTCTTGCAGTTGCGCGATATTGACACCATTCTCGTCCTCTTCTGTTCTATCAATGTACTTTAAAATGTCAGGACTTTCTGGCTGGGAAGTGAGATTTAAGTCTGTGAACTGTCGGCGAAACCATCCATATTTACTGGTATCACAAGACGAATTTAGAATCCCTTCCTTGATCTCTGCCTCAGAAACTGGAACAATAAAGATAGCACAATAAATTGTACGATACAACATTACAACGCCTTCCAACGAAATGCGCTATGGTTCAGAAGAAACAACGTGACCTCAGTTTCATGTAGCATGCAGCTCTTGCGCATCGCTGATAAGTAAAGGAAAGCTCGAAAAAAGATTATTTGAGAAATATACCTATATATATATATATACCTATATATAACAAGATATTTTGGAAATAGTTAATGCGCCTTTTTCTTTAAAAAGCACAGCACATGGCTGCAAAGGAGTCTACTAACTGCCGATTTTCACTCGTGAATTAAGCGGAGACAAACGAGGAGACCGCAGTTTTTCCTGCTTAAGTCACAAAKTAAGGCTTGCTTTAAGATAAGCAGTTTCTCATGCCAAGTATCTGTCCATCAATTTTCTTTTCATTTTTATGTTAAAGTAGTTGKTAAGCACTGATTACGYACCTGATTGTGCATATTGTCGAAACTTTTCTTCATCAGGAAAAACCTTTYGAACAGCATTCATGAGAGATTTCTTTAGCTGTTCAAATTCACTGTTGCATTCCTGGTGCACTTTGTTCTTGACAAAGTCATTGAGTTCATTTGCAAAGTATTCTGGAAACCAAAAGCTTACAGGTTGGAGAATATAGGAAACAGGAATGGCATTTAGGTCTTCTTTATACCACCTTAGGGACAAAAATCATAATATGAAGGTTAAACGAATGGTATAGAAAATAGAAAGTGCATGAATATATTTTAGCCTTTGTAATTTTACTCTTCTATGCTGAGCCCGACTGAGTAGATTGATTTATATTCAATTCACTAGCCCACATATAGTGTCTCCTTTGCAACGAAGGTTGAAGCACTTTTAAAACTGTGTTGTGCTACATTTTCTCAATTACACACTATGTGTTGCCATTTTTGTATTTAACTAGAATATGGTCACACTTCCTTACAAAGTGGCATCTCAAGCAATAGAACAGAATAATCATTAATTGATAAGTATTACACACTTTGAAAACAGCTCCATTGTGCTCTGGTCTTCAACACCTGCCAGAATCGTTTKAAATTCTTGAGCTTCAATCTTGTTAGGAATTGGGCAGTAACCATACTTGTCTGATAAGAGAGTCTGGATACAAAAAGAACTCATAAAATTACTAGAATATAAACAAGTAGAATATTGCAAATGCACACAAACAGTTAACTGTAAAATGTGCCTGGATTATGCAATTGAATTAGTCTAAACATTATCTTACAATAAAGTTAGGTCCAGCRGATAGCTGTTGACATTTCCTAATCTCTCGAATGCATAATTCTGTTGTTTCATGCATGTCTGTGACTTCATCTCTTACTCCCCAGCGCATATCAACTACCTAAAATACAAAATCATCACACATAAATGAACAGGAATATCATAGGAGTTATGTCTTGTCAAAAATACACAATTCACCTGGAATCCATAGCCATGGGCTTTGCAAAAGGATTTTAGCTTTGGATACACATTTTCCATCAAAGCATTGCGTTCGTGTTCAGTATCTTTAGTTAATAAGAGAAAAATAATTAATACCACAATAATAAAAACTACCAGTACAACATTTAAAGCTCCCATAGAATAATTGCTACCTTTAAGGGAAAAAAATATTTATAAGGTGAAAAAATATTGATACCTGTAAATGTGGAACTGATAAATATTCTTATCAGTTTTGTAGTTACTGGACATTTCTGATCCATTGCACCATAAAGAATCTTTTCAATTTGTTCAGAAAGTGCACATCTGAAAAGAAATTCAATCATACAAATTGGGCTGTCTTTCAACTCAATTTTTTAGTTGTTTATGGCTTACACATTTACCTGGAAATATTCTCATTTTTGAAGTGGAAGTGTCAGTGTTTTTCAACACAGCGAAAATTGTCCTATAACTAAGTCAGCATTAAATGTCAAATGTCAACATAGTCTAACCTTTCTTCTGGTTTTGCTTTAGGGGATTTTAAAGCAGCAGGAGCAGCAATCTTGGTTTCCCCAGCAACACTACTTTTCTTTACCCTGCTTGCATTACCAGTAACTTTATTTTTGGTATTTTTATTTGAATTTGCGCCTGTTGTTTTCTTTTTCTCTGTATTACTAGCTTTCTTTTTGCTCGCAATGTTTCTTGGTTTTTCTTTGGAGTTCTGGATGACTTTATCGCTGTTACAATAGAGAGTCAAGAGTACTTTTAGTTTTACTGTTGAATACATGTAGGTGACATTGCTTAACGTCCTTGTTTACATTGGAGATWGTCAACACTCTTCAAAGAGTCACTCTAGCAGAAGAACCAAAAGCTAGCAGACTAAACAAGCCCTCCCCTTAAGGGTAGCAGTACTAGACTTACCTACATGTAAAGTGCTTAAAGTGTTAATATTATAAACAGTACATGTCTGAATTAAATAGAAAATCCCCCCATTCATGTATGTTTAGTTCATAGTGCAATTCTACCCCTATCATGAATGACCACTCCTGACATCTGACACTAGCATGAAAATGTAAACACCCTTAATTTAAAATAAGTGGTCAATGTGTCAGACTCCCCTGGCCTTCTTAGCTGCAGGTTTGAGCTTGATTCCTTTGTGTTTGTGGGGGGACTCCCTTATAAACGTTGGTAGGTATGCTCGGTGGATGGATTGAAAAATGATCCTAATAGGTAAGCATAAATTAATTC